ATTCCCCAATTGATGGAAATCTACTTTTTCCCCCCCAGCTCTTTGTTATCACAAAAAGCAGTTATAATTATTTTTGCTTCTCTTTTTGTTAGTGGAATAGCTCTAGAATCAAGAGTATAGGCTTTTAGCCATTTTCTTTGTAGAATTCCAAACTGCTTTCCAGAATTGCACAGATTCACAGCTCCACTAACTATGCATTAGTGTTCCTTCCTTTCCACACTCCCACTAACATTTCCTGTTCCCATCATGTATCACCTTTGTCAATTTCCTGGGGGAGGGTTGAAACCTCAGAACTGTTTTGGTCAGCATTTCTTTTATTTGGAACATTTTTAGCACATGACTGTCTCTTAATTTGCACGTGTTCTTTTGATAATTCTTTGTTGATATCCCTTAACTATTTATTTATTGAGGAATGGCTTTTGGTTTTATATTTGTAAGTTATCTATATAGCTTGGATATTTCTTCTTTTCTAACTTTTTTTCCAACCTTCTGCAGTCTTGCTTCCAACCTTTTAATTTGATTGACACTGCTCTCAGAAGTTACCAAATTCTTAATTGCCAAATCTGATGGCTTTTTCTCCTCCTCATCTGTCCTGACCTTTCTATAACCTCTGCCATTATCGATCACCCTCTTCTGGATACCCTCTTCTCTCTCAGTTTTCATGGTATTTTTCTTTCCTTGTTCTCCTTCTGTCTGATCCATCTTTCTTAGTCTCTTTCTATGCTCAGCACTTAACACAGTTCATGACATACAGTAAGCACTTAATAAATGTGTAATACCATCAAACCTTTATTAAGAGTATTTGATATGAAGATTCTTTGCCTAAGCACCTCATTTTTATTTTATACATTAATTTTACTTGTATAAAACCTTTTCAATTTCATGACATCAAAATTATCTATTTTTGGGTATATGAACTACTTCTACCTTTGTGTGATATGATCTTTAATATTTAGAAACCTTAGCATTTTAAGGGCTACTATCTTATATTTAAATTTGGATATAGTTTGTGTGTGTGTGTGAATTAAAATTTATCTAGGACTTGTTTCCAAAATCAAAGACTAATTTAAAACTTTTCCTCACTATTTTCTTTGTAAGTCTCAGGTTGGATTTAAATGCATTAGAAAGATTAAAAATATATACATATACCATGACAACAGAAGCCACCATTTTTCCCCTTCTGGTGGTTTTGTTCTCTTTTCTAGTTAGGAGGCAAATTATTTCATTTTCATTATCAGCATAGTGCATAAACCATCTGTTACTAGAAGGTATAAGCCCAAGTCCATTCAGCCCAAAGCAGCATGAGCAGCTGTAAATCCAGAGGGCCTATGCTTTCTAAATGGAGCAAAGGTTTGTATATCAATCTCTCCAAGTTGCTGAGTAGCTGGTACTGTGCCCAAAACCTAGCAAGTAAATTCAATTTGTTTAAATAATAATAAAAAAAATATGTTGTGGCAGTTCAGAGCTTATGGAGTTTAAGTATTTTTTTTTCAAAAGCTGTAAGCATGAGCCCCACTAATTGTGAGTCATGAAGGAGTCACATAGCTTTTCTGGCAGGCCAATACCTGTTCAGAAGTAGTATCACTCATATTTATATATTACATTTAGGGAAACTGAGGGGTGACTAAGTGATTTATTTAACATGGGCCAACCCTTACACTGTAGGCAGAGACATGATGAGAACCCAAATCTCCCAGTCTGGATTCCATACACTATTCTCTGGGTTCCTTGGCAATCCCTGGGCTATCTTCCAACTCTCAGTATTAATCACGGGCCAATGTAACACTTAGAACTTTTACAAATTCCAACTGTGTATGTTTTTAATTGCAAACATACACTTATTTTAAATGAACCCTAAGGCCAACACTTCTGAAGCATGAAGTATGTGCAAATTATCCAACACAAAATATTTTAATTTTAAGTATTAGTGATGTCATTTTCATTACCCAGAAGCCTGTTGTCCCAAATTATGGGTAGATGATGAAAGGAAAATGATTCATAAGTATGTTCCCTCAGCTTCCCTTGTGCCAAATATACAGCCCTACTACTTTGGTCTGGGTGTGGTGATTTTAACCTTAGTGTCTATTGTGTATGTGGTTTGTGTTTTTTCAAAGTTTGTTTTGCTTTTTTTAGTCTGCCTACTTCTATTTGGGAGTGTAATCTAAGGAAAGTGTATCTGTTTTCTATGGGCATTATGATTTGCTCATATTTTGTAATGACACATGTAGGATAACACCCTACTTATTATAGCAGAGTTAAGGGTCTGTCACTGTTTCCATGATAAAGTCTTACTTGCTAAGGTTTATTACACAGCCATAGCAAATTGCTATAGGCAGAAACTTGGCACTGCTTTATCCTCAGCTAGGAGGAAATTATTTTCAGCAATTAAAAAAAGATAAAAATAAATATATGTTTACCAGCTAAAAACACATGAGCTAGCTAATGTAATTTTAAATCAGTTTAATGAGGAAAGATACATATATGATATGGCTTATATTTTTAACTTTTTTCAAGTTAGTAATTGAGTTATTGAACTAGAAGTAAGTATTGCTCAGCTGCTATATGTTTTCTAAAAAAAAAATCAACTTTTAAATGATGTGGTTTGCATCTTACACTGGTTTGCTGAACTGATACAATAAGCCCCAGTGAGTGTGAGGACTGCTGAGTAAGTGATCCAGGAACAAAATAGAATTTGAGCAGTAGTGCAGGACGGCTTCTTCAGAGATGTTCTCATTCATCACAATAGAAATTCACCTTCTAAAGAGTTAGATTTGTTTCTCCAGGTAAATATGGATGAAAGAAAGAAATGATGCTCAGAGGGGTTAAATCACTACCTTGTGAAGATAATGACAATTTTAGAGTCAAGATTTGAACCCAGGCCTTGAACAGATCAGTAAGAAATGAATTCGATGATCAATTTATAAGCAATATGGAAAAATCTGACTGGACTAAGAGTCAGTAGGCCTGGGTTTTCCAGAAAGTTCTGACACTGCTCTATAACCTTGCCTCAATTATGTAACTTTTATGAATCTCAGTTGCCTAATCTATCATTTTACTTACCTCAAAGGAATATATAAAGATGAAATGTAAAAGGGCTTTCAAAGTATATGAGGTGCTATACAAATATAAGATAAATTCTTATCATGTGCCTTGAAGCTAAGCAGCCAAAACTGATGGGAAATAAATATTACTATGTATTTTTAAAATAATATTTCATTCCAAACAGCATTATTTTGATCTAGTGCTTGCTTATGTAAATGTCTTTTTTTGCTCTAAGTCCTTCGGTTAAAATGAGATAGGGTTGACTGTGTTTATGAATTAACTCTGTTTTTGAGGAAAGCCTACCCAAAGTAGTTTGGGTATGTTGGGAGTTTTTTTGGGGGTAATACTGGAATAAGATCAAAATTCAATCAAAGAATTTAAATAAAAACTTTAAATAGGCATATTTGCCGAGCTTTAAACTTGAAAAGATGCCTACATCACTCCAAATCTCCAACCGCTATAACCTGGTAGTAAATATTTTAACTCCATATGTCTGTCAATAATTAAACAAAGCATACCTATCAGACGACTGCCAATAAACCGATTTATGAACCACTATTTTAAAATTGCCCTTAAGTTAGAGACCCATATAATTATTACATTCAGCACACTTGTGCTCCCTCTACTGCTTTGATGGAAACATTAACTCATGAAGACCTCAGTACAATTTCCTCAGCAGGGTGCAATGTCTTTGGTGGGGAGGGGGGGACGGACATGTGCACAAATTAGGGAGTTCATTAACTGGAACACAGAAGTGGTAGAAAATAATTAAGTCTTAAAAAATTGCAAACTTTTAAAGGCACAAATTTATGGGGACAAAAGAGACAAGAGTTGGGGAGGAAAAGGTGAGCAAAGGCGTTAAGTGGGATATTGTGGGAGTTATGAATTTTTTGGAAGCTACTACTTTGTAGCAAATCATTTTAAAATATAAAAGCATTCTTGATACAATTTTTCTAATCCCACAAACATGAAGCCAATAAAATTTAATGGGTAGAATTCTTTATATGTTCCTGATAGCTAAGTAATCCAAGACATATGTTAGGTAGGAAGATTCCCTGAATTCAGGAGTACAATGGTGGTAGGGGACAGAATGGAAGGCTTTCCTAGGCATTTCCTTGCCTTTTAAAGTTTGCCTTGTCCGTGTGTGAATGTAATATCTGGTTTGTGAATAGTACTCTAGTACTACACATTTGCTTACTGCTTCATGAAAGCCGTACTCCTTTGACTAAGCTTTTATTTGCATGAGATAGTCTTACTTTTAAAGAGACAGTGCAGGATCTCTCTTATTTGCAATTTATCCTTTCTCATCTAAAAACAACTGCCTCCAATATCCTAGATCATGAAACAGTATCATGAGAATTATGCTTAGCTTTTGGACTTGCAGGAAGAAATAGTTACAGATTTAAGTCATAGTTTATTGCTGTTCATCTCAGAAATTAATGGCACATTCTTGTTTTACTGTCTTAGCAATATACAGATTTAGTTTCCTTAAGGGTGCATTTAAATTAATTGACTGACTCTAATCTGAATTATGAGTTTTAATTTGCTGAAGGCTGTTAAAATAACTTGAACTGCTTATGTCAATGAAATAATAAAAATATTTGCTCTCTTTATTAAAAAATTCTCTTAATGCAAGATGACTAAAAATAGACTGGAGGTGGATTGGACAGTCTGCAGATTATGAGTTGGAATAAAAATGTCTCACTTAAGCCAAAAACATGGCAACCAATATTTTCTGTTACAAAAATATTTTAGATGAATTTAGTTTTTATGAAAGCTGTCTGAAGCTGAAAGGAATAGCAGCAGCTCTATTTATTCACAAGCCAGTAATAATACCTGAGGCTCACAAAAGAGGAGTCATTATTGCATAAAACCAACCAGTTCCCGTTTTTGTTCAAAATCCCCACTCTGATGAAGATGTTAAAATTTTACGTATTGTTATGTTATTTGATACCAACCTTTACTTTGCTAATGCTTGTCAATTGGAACAGCAAAAAAGATCACAGCTTTTTGAGAGATGGATCATAACTGTCCACTAGAGGCTGTAATGAGACCAACAATGTCATTGTACAGCAGACCCTGGATTTTCAAATGGTAAAAATAAATAAAAATGTAAAAATGAGTAATGATGACCAATGGTTCTTTTTATGAGTAACAAATTATGTGCTTGGATTTTCAAAATGATAGAAAAAAACTATTTTTCATACTCTACACACTACTTTATTTTCATATCTAAAGTACAAGGCTTTGCAACCCTTAAGGGGGATACAAGCTGATACCATATTTCTTTTGGTGATTCTGGATTTGCATGACATGTTGACTAATGTATTTCAGTCACACACGAATGCAGCTGAAAGACCCATACATACAGGCAACAAGTAGAGATTTAAAATGCAATGCTAAACTTCTTTTTGAGCTGTATGTTGCCTGTTTCTCCTTAATGGGGGCCAGACAGTGTCCGGACACCTATAGGTTCCCCACTTATCTGTCATAAGAGGAAGCTGAGCTTGCTTCAGCATGAATGTGGCTTCTTTTCCTCTATGTGTGCCACACCTGTTGGCAAGGTGAATATTTCTCAGAAAAGAGATTCCTTCCTACTGAGGTAACATTCAACAAGGGATTAAAAAAAAAACAAACCCCAAAAAACCCAAAACCTAACAACCCTGAAGAGCTTACCACTGAGCCCAGAGGATGTGCTTGAAGCTTTCTAAAGTTTATTTGATGTTTGTCATCCCCATCTCTCACTAGGACCTCATTTCTGATTAAATCAATGAACTTGACACTGTCCAGGTGAAGATGATGTTATCTGCTGTAGCTGGCTGCTCTACTTAGACATTAGGAATGGTTACTGAATATCCGGGTCCAAAGAATCTTTCCGGGCCTACTTCTGAGTGTAAGGGAATGGGCAAGGGATAGTCAGTAACTAGGCTTCAGAGATAGTGGAAGTAAATGTATACCTAGGGAAAGGATCGTCCCTCAAAGTTTCCCCAGCAGAGTTTCGTAAAGATTCCAGGGACCTTGTAGTCACCCTCGATTTTCTGAATTACAGAATGAGTTTCCAACCCTTGAATTCCTAACCCACTTGCTTGCCCAACCGGTTTCAGGATAGACATGAGCTGTTCATTTTAGCAGAGGCAAGATACATCGAGCATCAATGTCCAGAGGAGCTGTGAGTTCGGTTAGGCCAGCGGCGATTGAGTAATTCTCTCTCTGACACTCACCTTGATCCTCCTCTTCTCTAGTCGACACTTCTGGGGTTTGAGTAAAAAAGTCAGTCGGAGCTCCTCGGAGACCTTTCCCTGCCTTGCTTGCCAAGGAAGTGAAAGAAGAGAGAGAGAGAGAGAGAGAGAGAGAGAGAGAGAGAGAGAGAGAGAGAGAGAGAGAGAGAGAGAGAGAGAGAGAGAGAGAGTGTGTGTGTGTGTGTGTGTGTGTGTGTGTGTGTGTGTGTGCAGGTGTGTGTGGGGGGGTGAGAGGGGGAGCACGGCAGTGGCGGCGGCTGTGTAAGACCGAGGTTTAAATAAGCCAGCCCCACTACCTTGACCTCTCATTTCTGACACTCTTCCCTTACTCTCATCCCTCACCTCCTCCCATCCCCAAAGCTACTTTTTCGGAGGAGTGGTTAATGGGTGCAGGTTTTGGAATGAAAACTGCTTCCCCCCCCCCCCGCGCCAATGCTTAATCCCTCCCAGTAAATTCTTAGAAGAAGGCTGTGCAGAGACCAAGGAAGGGTTAAGCCCGGCTGGCCTGGCTCTGCTGTGCGTATGCAATAATCTGTGTGGCTCTCTTGGATGTTCGCCAAAGAGTTGCCTTGCCTCCTCCCCCTCCCCCTCCCCCCCCGGTCCGGCCTCCGCTGCCCCCGCCCCCCCGATCTTTTCACTCCCCCCCCCCCGTAGGATCCTTGAGCGGTTGCAGCGGCAGCCAACTGCTCCATATTTGGCTTCTATTACACATTTACATACTGGAGCAAGCGAGCAAGCAAGAGAGAGAGGGAGGGAGGGAGAGAGAGGGAAAGGGGGGGTGGAGGGAGGAGGGAGAGAGGGAGGGGAGTGGAGGAGGAGGAGAGAGCAGTGTATACCGCAGACATCATTTCTACTACAGTGGCAGAGACGTCCAGGACCTGTTTCACTGCAGGGGGATAAAAAACAAGCCCTGTGGATCAGCAACAGCAGCAGCAAGCAGCAACAGCCGCCGCAAGACATTGTTTCTCTCCCTCTGCCCCCCTTCCCCAAGCAACCCCAGATCCATTTACACTTTACAGTAAGTGGCTATTTTTTTCCTCCTGTTTCTTTCTCTCCCCCTCCCCCTTCTTACTCTCCTCCCCCTCTCCCCCTCCCCCCCCTCCCCGTCCTCTTCTCCCCTCATGTAGATTAAGACCCTTCTTTCTGCTATCCCGGGAAAAACATCATCAACAACAACAAACAAATCCAACCCAAACCCTCAAAAGGCGGCGGCACCGACAACAGCTGGAAGAGCGGAGAAGAAAATAATACGCGTTGTGTTGTGTGTGTGTATGTTGTGTGCGTGTGTGTACATACAACCTTCCTACGCTTCAGCCTCTCTGTTGCCAACACCCCCACTCCCAGCGCTGGGGCAACTGGCTAAGGGAACAGGCCAGGAAGCAGATGGAATAGGTGTAGGCGGGAGTGGGGGTGGGGGACACGCGCCCCAGGGGGGAGAGGGCGGGGGGGGTGGATTGTCCCTGGGTGCCCGCGGAGATTCATTGCACCCCTGTTACTGCTGCTGCTGCTACTCGGGCTCCCCAGTGCATGGAAGATATGTCCTCCCTCGGGGTGGCGCAGGGGGAGTCAGCAGCAGCCAGCACTCTTCTCCACCTCACCCCCCAACACTCACCCCACTCACCCCCACTTTGCACTCTCCAGACTGGGAAGGAGGGACTCCGCGGGGTGTGTGCGTGCGTGTGTGTGTGTGTGTGGTGTGTGTGTGTGAGCGTGCACGCGTAGGTATGTGTTGATTCTGGGGAGGGCTGGACTCCCAGCTTACCGGCTTCTTCCTCCTTGCTGCTGGGGGTCGCCAAGCCTGGCAAGACTGTCCTCCTCTGTGTGTGTGTGTGTGTGTGTGTGTGTGTGTGTGTGTGTGTGCACGCGTCTAGGAGACGGGGCGGGGGGGCGGTCTGGTCAGGACTTTGCAAGTGGCCAAGGTCTCCTGCCCTGGCTAGGAGAAGAGGGGGTGGGAGTATGGGAGAGGGAGAGTAAGGGGGGAACAGAGAAAGAGAGAGAGACTGAGAGAGACAGAGAGACTGAGAGACTGAGGCTGAGAAGGGTAACGGGGAGGGGACGCGCGCGCGCGTGAGTGTGTGTCTGTGGGTGCCCGGAGCAGCGGCAGCGGCTGGAGTGGCGGCCCTGGCTGGCTGCTGCCTTGTTTGTGCGGCTGCTTCCTGATCATGTGGAGCCTCAGCTGCTGGTGCTGCTGCCGCTGCCGCCGCCGCCGCCAGCACCGCTCTGCCGCTGCTGCCCTGTGCCGGGCTAGCACTCCGTTCAGGGGGGTGGGGAGGAGGCTTTTCGCTGGTGCCGGCTGCACGTTGCACGGGAGAGAGCGTAAGAGAGTAGTAGAGGAGCTGGTGGCCGTGGGGCAAGTCCTGCCCCCGTGCCTAGAGTGAAAGGGGTTGTGTGGTTGCTGAGAGGGTGAATGAAGCCAGGAGGAGGGGAAGGAGAAGGAGGAGGAGGCGCTGCAGGGATTGGGATGCGCCCAGTAGCCCCGCTGTTCACTCAGGGCCGGGCCAGGCCGGAGACACCATCAGCACTACCACTACCACCGCCTCCTACTTGTTCCAGTGCGGAGTGAGTGCAGGCCAGTCCCCAGAGGGCAAGCGAGGGAGAGGGGGAGGGTATGCAAGCAGGGCCGAAAGGGGAGAGGTAGAAGTGAGGTGTTGTAATAAGAGGGGCGTGTGAGTGTGTGCTTTGGGGGAAGGGGTCATGCTTGGAAAGAGACTTTGAGATTGGGAGCTTGGTTATCTGATCTCCTGGTTTTTTCTGCACCGGCTTCAACCCCTTCACCTTTTTCCCCCGCCTCAATTGGCCTCAAACTTCCTGTGCTGGGCTTTCGTTTTATTTTAGGCGGTGCAGGGTTTTTGCTGGAAGTGGTAAAACAATTCACATTTTCTAGGGAGAACCTTAGTGAGGGGTGAGGGAGGAAGGATTGAAGCTGAAGGTGGAGAGTGTTTCGGGGTGGGGGGGACACTGCACAGTTTCCAAGGACGTTGGGAATCGGCTAAAACCCGTTCCAGCACTGTTTTGTTTTGTTGTTTTTGATAGCTACAACCCTGCAAAAATTGGGAACATTTAAATACTTTTGCAGACGGGGAAATTGCTGAAGAGTAGTAATGGCAAAAAAAAAAAGCAAGTCGGAAGCTGGTTATATAATGCTCTATGTGGATAACAAGAACAAGCTATTTTTATTTTGTTTACCGTATGCTGTGCAGTAGGGACTCCTCCAAACTGGATCTATCCCGGATGAGATTCTGAGCTGCCCCCACAAGATGCTCAGGATACAGTTAACAAAATCAGAAGACCCCGTTGTCCATAAACAATAAAAGCTAATGCTTTGAAATACCGTCTTGTCCTTAAATATGGTCTTGAATACACAGCAGTGTGTATAGGTGAATAAGTTCAGTTTTAGAAATGAAGTGGTCCAGTTCGGTGACATTTTTTTTATAATATAGATTGCACTTAATATTTAATCGTCATTGTTATATATTATGTAGTAATGGTTAGTTACTTATCAGATATTTTTAGACACACTTTTGCTAATGTCTTAGGTAAGCTTTCTGCATTTGGGTTTCTGATGAAATTTTCAGTTAACAGAGACCCCTGCCATCTTCCGACAACCTCTTTGCATTATTCAGCGGATGAAAATAGTTTGATCCGCTGACTCCTTGGAATGAAGGTTATTGACGGAGGGAGCTACCAGAGAAAAGGGAAGGGGGGTGGGAATCCCACAATAAGCTATTGGAAAGAGGTTGCATCATAGCTGCTAATACCATGCTATTTAATCTCCTCTGCCCTCTAACTGTTCATGCATCATTCAATATTTTACTGGTTAGCAGATCTCTCTAATAAATAGGCTTTAATGCCATCTTCTATATAAAGCAGAGGTTGATGGGTTCTCTTGAACCTCCTGCCTGTCTTTTTCATCATGTAGATACATGTCAATGGTGTAGGTTTGCAATGCACTTACTCCAGCCCTGATCAGTCATGTAATTAGATCAGGCTACCATGGCAACAGACAGTATTCCTCGTCCATTCAGGTGGGTTTGTCTTGTGACTAGGCTACTCCAAGTGTTTTATGTGCTGTATTTGTGCCTACCAAGCTGCAGAGGAGGACTTCACTGTTTTTACTGCATCTTCGTCCGGTAATTTAGATGGAAGACACTGTATTAGACTTCTAGTTACTCTTCTATTATGAAAGACACTCCTGTAATACTACTGCACAGTAAGTCAAATCTTACTGTGTGCAATATGTAAATGCATCTCTCCGCTTGGTGAAAGGGGCCTGACAATCCAATTGGTGTTTATTGTTAACAGATCAACAAGTATTTGTTTGGTACGTGTTAGCAACCTTTTCAAAGCTTACTAAAGAGAAGTTTTCTCTTGCAATCTGGTCCTATTTTGGCTTGGGGAGGGGAGGTGTTCTCTAACCCATTACACACATTCCCTCTGAATTTAAATTGCTGACAGGAGTAAATTCTAGGGGTTCGCCAAGTGAAGTATTTGACTTTGGAAAGAGTCCACATTGCCACATTAATAACCTTTCTGCAATTATAACAGCTGTCTTGACAAAAGGCATGCATATTCCAGTGTAGTCGTATTAGGCTGTATGGTGAGGGTAAATGATCTTTTACGTATGTTTTTATATTGATTTAAAAAATAATATTTTTCTTCTTGGCATAGTTGAGCCATGGACAGGGCTCTGTCCCATAAGCTAACTATGTACTATATGAAAACATAAACAGCCCCCTTTAATTCAATTGCATCTTGTCACTTTACTACATAATGAAGATTTTACAGACTGGTATTTTATTGTTCATACTATATTTAGGCCACCACCCGGTTGGGTGCTTAGAGCAAAGAAAAATTTGTTGCAAAATCAAGAGCTTTGTAGTTGCTAAAGCTTGATACCTGGAAAATGATAGTTAGGAAACAGATACTCAAATAAGCTAGTTTTATGCAAGGAGGCAGAAATGACAGAGGTTTTTGGTGCCTATGATGAAGTTGTGACTCTCTGTCAGTTTACTGTCCTAGGTGCTATACATATGAATTTGTCACTCTCTTGAACTGCTGGGAGCAAGGGAGGCTTAGGAAACCTTGCTCTCACTGAGTTTGTGTGGCTTCTTTGTCCTGTGGTCAGTCTGAAAAGAGATTGTTAGGATTTCGGCATATTCATCTTTGGGGCACAGGTAGAGAGAAAATTGCATGACATTTTTTTATATAGTAGCTGGGGGGGAAAAGTGAGTGGAAACAAGGGAAAAGGAAAAAATCCTCAGAAGAAAAAACAAGTCCGTACAGACGACAGTGGGTGCTGCTGCATTTGCCTGGCTCTCGCTAATATTGTTTTGTAATTCCTAGCAAATTACTGGCACTATAGTGCTTCATTGTACCAAGTGAATCTGTGTTTTGGATAGCACAGGTAAAGTTGTGGTAAAAGAGGGAGCACTATGCTCCTGATTACGACCTAGCAAAAACTGTAATTTTTTCTCCACCCTCTGGATATCATTATGAAAGGGTTTGACAAAAGAAGTGCTATTTTACTGAAAATATTATAACAGGGCCTCGAGGCTGTATGAATTATCCTTTACACCAAGAAATAGATTAAATAAAAATTCTGAAGCCTTTAGATTATGTATCAGATGTCTGAAGATGGCCTCATTTAAGTTTATGTTTCGACACACTTGATTGAATTGCGTGGTAGTCTTGGAAAAGGAAAGCCTTAAGAGAGTATTAAAATATTAGTAAACACATTTCTATGACTGGTGTTTTCTTTGTCACTGTAGAGTTCAAGGACTCACATTCTTTTTCTGAAATTATTTTTTTCTTCCATTCTGACATGTCAAGAGGGCTTTGCTTTTTTTTTTTAAATAATACTTTTCATAACGACTTCAGTTTGTAACAACTCACACACCCTAGCACCTCAATACCCTGTTCATTGTCTTTCCCCACCAAAGTCAGTAAACTTACTTTGCTTTACCCCTGACACTATTAATAAACAGAGGCATGAATGTCGATACCTAAAAATATAGTTGTCTGAAAGTGAACACATACTTTGGACTTCGAAATGCTTAGATACCTGTCTTGGTAATAGCGCTTTAGTGAGGCAACACAAATAGACTGGAGTTCCTGAAAATAATATATTTTGGGAAGGAGGATTGGTGTTGCTAAGTCAATAAAGGGAGTATATTATTAGAAGTTTGGAGTTAAAATTTGAAATCATGTATGTTGTCTCTAGTATTTGGTTTCCCATAGCAATATTACCAGGTATAATGATAAAATAATAGAATAGGGTTTGAGTGTTTGATTTTACATGCATAACTTAATCATTAAAAAAAAACAATTTAATGGAGGTCATGTTGTAGAAGTTATCATAGTTTATATGGGTTGTTATAGTGTAGATAGACCCTAACCAAATATTAAAATATAGGTAACCCTTAGTTGTGTACATTAACTAGAAGAGATGTGTTGCTTTAATAATAGCTCTTCCTTAGATTTTCAAAACATGTAAAAATAAATGAACACAAGGTAATATTTTTAACTAAGGAGATTATGTATAGTATAGGACATTCAACTTATTACCATCTATTAAGTTATTAACGTGTTAGTTTCTTTTAGATCTTACTCAAACTTTAGGTAGAGATACATTTACTAGTCTACATTTTTTGTTTTGTGGGTAGAACTAGCACAATAATATCCTGGGATGAAAAAAAAGATACTTTAAAAAATCACATAGGTTCAATTTATTTTTGACTGTGTTATGATATGATGAGGGTTTGGCTGAGGGTTTTTTCCTCCAATGTTTAAATTTCCTCCAATATTTAAAACTGTAGCAGCAATATAAATAGTAATCTTATTTAGGTAGTAGGAACATTATTGGTAGAAGCAGTTTCTGGATTTTTTTAATAGAAATTTATACATATATGTATATATGTGTGTGTGCATATACATGTATGTACATACATGTATACTGGGAGGTTGTTACATGTGTATATAAAACATATATGTGTATGTATATAAACACATGTATATATGTACACACATGTTATATATGTTGCACACACATATCCATCTATCTATGTATCTGACTTCCCAGGGCAGTGGAGTATAAATGTTTGCACTATTATCTCTTGTCCCCAAATTATATAAAAATGTCTAGATGTGTGACAAGGATATTTTATTTGAAATCTGTGATGTTAGCAGAAAGATTTCGTTGGCTTTTTGTAACTTTTATTACCTCTAATTCATGGAATAATGAAAATTATGCTGATAATTATCATAATGTAAATCTTGTGCTGGCTAGAAAATTGCCTTGTAATAAGCTCATCTTAGTGTAGTCAGAACTCAGACTTGGATGGCAAAGGATCACTGGGTAAGGTAGTGTAATGTCTTTTGGATAAGTCCATTTTTTTAGGAGTTTTCTTTAAGCAATCTTGTGCTGTTTTAGCAATTGCTAAAGATGACTGTCATTGGAGTTTATGTAAGGATTTATGCCTCTAAAATTCTTTTAGACTTTACTTTTCTGTAAATTCATGGGAAGCTATCTATTCCCATCTCCTACCTGTATCCTCTTGTAGATATTAATCCAGTGCTAAGCACACAGTAATTTAACATAAATTAATACTTTTTTGAAAGCTTATTTGTAGTAGAAAAAATTGTTTATTTTGTTCATTATCTTGGAAAAGTACTGGAAGTGGAATGGATTTGTTTTCCTCTCCCTTCCAGAAATGTGCTAGGTTGGACTGGATTCCTGAAAGTGATCTGGGGCAAACTGGTGACTGTTTAGAATGGATGCAAATGGATTTGACTACTGTTATATATTGGCAAGTTCCCAAGGACAATTGACTCAATTACCCAGTTATTCATTATCTGTAGTGGGGAATTATCACCATCAGATTCTTAACCTCAGGATGGTTTCTCTTGAGGCCCAATAGGCTTCTGGGATTTTGTTTTCTTAACTTGATTTCACATGCACTCAGGAATTTCAGAGCAGGACATAATTGGGAAGGCATATCAATATCAAAGGTTATATCATTTCATTCTAATGTCAAAAATATGGCTTGGGAATTGTCAACTATATGCACTGTCTCTTCTAGTTAGTGTGCATAACTAAAGATTACCTGCACTTCAGAAACTCTGGTTAGGGTTAACGTATGATCCTAAAATAACTAGAAGTACTAAGGTATTTGATGGCTAGGGATAAAAAAAGATGGAAATTTATTTCTGTTAAGATATGGGACCAACAGATGATAGTTGTAATTTTTTTTTATCCTCTTAGTTTTAGGAAATGTTGTTTGTTTGCCTTTGTAGTCTTATGGGATCAGAATTCTGATCTCAACAATGTTTTCTTTTTATGATTTTCCCTCAAATTATGTTAGACTTTATATTCTATCTACAAAGGAAGAGAAACTGCCTTTTATAGTACTACATATACAGTAGGAACTGAATAAATTAATGAAACGACATGTTGCTGAATATTAGATATTGATTTAAGCGAGGAAGTGGGCTTTATATGCCTAGATGATACAGTAGTATCAGTACGCATACTTACCTGAATCTATTTATGATTGATCATCAATTGATCCGACTAACAAGAATTAGGGGAAGAATATGAAACTGTGGGAAAAAAAAAGACAAAGCTAACTAGCTTAAATGGAAGAGGAAGGATCAAACATTAACCTTAGCTTCACACTGGGGTCTAGGCAGCCAAGCTGAAATGGTCACAGTTTGATTGATGTCTCTTTGGTACATCACTCGTTGATTCTGTTAATTGAAAGCAAATTTAACTTTTTGAAACTGGTTTGTATTTCTCTGCATCTCTCCTGAAGCAAAAGAATTGTGTGTGTTTGTGTGCAGATGTTGAAGTGAGGGATTCTCTGTGTTTTTGACAATCACTGTGAAGTTACTGTTCTTATATGTCTCTAAAGTTAGATTTGAACCCTAAAAAGGCAACCTATTTTGTTTTCCATTTGGTTTTTATCTCCTTTACTTTTGGATTGTTGCAGCTGCATCACAAGGCAAGCCAGCAGGGTGGTCCATTCGAACTTTGGATTTATTCATGGTCTTTGTACAGCAGCCCCTTCTCCCATCATCACTACTGGGAAGTGTACTATAAATCAGGTAAGAGTTTCATGATGCTATTTATTTTGTATTTTAGGGTTTAGGCAGTCTGGCCTGTAAAGAAAAATATTCTGGAAAAGCTCAATGTGACTTATCCTTCAAAGGTGAAATCATGTCACTTGCTTTGTTTCTGGTCTAGGACTAGCAGTGTCTACACAAGTAAAGTGAAAAGGAACATTGAAGCAATTACCAAGGAAATGCAAACTTTTTGCCTTATTACATTTATTGCTGAAATACTTCAGGGATTTGTGATTACTTCCATATGGGTAGTCCTTCCACCAACACAGACTATAAACCCTTCTTGGTACTCTGGTCTTTGGCAGTTGCCATGGCCAAAAAACCTATTTCCCCTACAACCTACTTTTTGGTGATGAGTCTTTTTTAATTTATCTAGAATGGCCCTTGGAGGATAGACAGTTCATGGAGGAGCCTGTACTGGAATTATTTGGGGGAGTTCACAGCCTCAAACTTTCACCTACTTTGTAGATCGTTTAGTAATTTTATTGCTTGCTTTTACTTAATCAAAGAAAAAAAAACAATTTGTTACAAAATGGTTATCATAAGAATAAAATGTTTTTAATCCTTTAGACTTTGCTATAGAATAATATGTCAAGATTAACATAGACAGTGGGGAAAAAATACAATGGATCTGTTTGGTTTGCAGCAAACACCCATTAGTGACTCTAGTATTTCTTTCTCTTGGTCTGTTTGCATTTTACAACTTCCTGATTTCTTCACATACAGTAAACTTGGACAATCATCCAGATACTGAGTGTTTGTGAAGGATGATGACTCATTGTTCTTCACTGAGGACAGGAAGAGAGGAAATTAAATTACAGCAGGAGAGAATCAAGTTAGATCTGAGAGAACTTTTTAGCAGCAAAGTTTTGTTGAACCCTGGAATGGTTAGATTGAGTTTAATAAGTACTTATTAAGCACCTTCTGTGTGCAACTCACTCTAGGGATACAAGGATGAAAAATGACACACAGCCCTCAATGAATTTACCATTTATTAAGTTAAAGGATATAAGCGCAAATAACTGTAATACAAATTAGAATAAGATATTTATATTATTTATTTTATTTTATTTATTTTAAATAATAAAGGTTTATATTGAACCTTTATTAAGCTTCTCTTCTGCATGTGTGTGTGTGTGTGTGTGTGTGTGTGCGCGCGCCAGTATGCTACAGCAAAACTTAACTGACACTGTCCCTGCCCTTATGGAACTTATAATCTAGTAGAGACATATACTACAAACGCAGATAACTATTGTATGCTGCAGTTCATGATAAATATGTTAGAGAAATATAAAACACATTGCTAGATGCAATTCAAAAGAGAGGGTCTTTATGAACAGGCAAAGGGGCAAAGTATGAATCTGGAAAGGCCTCAGGATGGAGATGGCCTTTAAGGGATGAAATCTTAACTTGTGCTTTGGTTAACCTAAGGTTATTGGGGGAAAAAAATATTTGACAGGAGTTCTGGAGAGACAAATGCTAGATAAAGTTGTCTTGTGCTTCTGTTCCTATATCATGTTTTAAGTGTGGACCATTTTCAGCAAACATGATATACCGTAATCTGATTTTGTAAACTTTAGGAAATGATTACTTGGGAAAAAAAGGTTTATGGCCTTAGAAAGATTCATATATTACTTTCTGAAATAGAAAGTGCCATGCCCTACTTATTCATATAAAATATGACTTTGATTTATATACTTTTTAGTGAAAACATTGTATAAAAGATTATATACTCCTATCTCTATCTATGTATCTATCATCTCATTAATTTTAAGTCATTACAAGTGTTCCATCTGGCTCATAAATGCTTCTAAATAAATAGATTTACCTAATTTTTCTTTCTTTTTGTTAACATTGCAGGCTGCCTGGAAGCTGGGCAAAATGACTATGCCAGCATTTTGTATCTTACAACTTTCTCAGAACTTTCTTTTATCCAACAACAGACAGCTACAAATATACAATATAAAAATAACATACTAATTCTACTTGTTGACAATATAGTAATCATAGAAATAAATGTCGTTCATATTGTTGTAATATGAAATGAGGAATTTAACTCAAAACCAAAGAAAGGTGTTGGTTTTATGTCATAAAAATAAACTTGCTCCAGAATCTTACTGGATGCTACATCAGAAAAGTGAGTCAGGGAAATCCCTATTGTGGAATAACTTCTTAATATGTATGCTACATCATTGTAAAATATAGAACACATTATTTTACATTATATTAGTTCTAGGGTAGGGTATTATTCTTGAAATGGAAATAGACTGAGTAGTTTCTTCCATGCAAATTCATGTCTTTTATCTTTTGTAACAAGTTGCCTTATTAAATGGTCAGAGTTTCTTGCTGCCACGGAAGAGTTAAATCTTAGGCAAGGAATTCCAACACTTAAAAAATTCATGCCTTAAATTTCTGCAGGAAAATAACTTAAGTGCATGTGGTCCACACAGGCTGGAAGCAATCTGTCTTTTTGCATGGGATATTAAGGAGAGTAGCTCATTTTTAACAAAATTATCTCATGGTTTTAGAAAATTGCCTTATTGTGAAAAAAGGAAGTCGCAGGCAAATTCTTGTTTGTTGGTCAATCTATGCAACTTGCTGAGAAGAAACACAGTTCTTCATGGTGTGTTAATCAAGTCTGAGTGTGTAATGAATACCCACATTGTATTATTGACAATGTAGTGCAAAGTCACCTTGGATTTTCAAGCAGCTGACATTTCCTGTGATTGCACGTAAAGCAATTATAAGCATTATCTAAACATTTTGCATAAATAATGACCTTATTATAGTCAGTACAATTGACTATCAAACCTGGGCAACCAAACAATGTCATCCACATTGCCCTTTTAGAGTAATCATTAAGGTGTGTAGATTTTTTTTAAATTGAATGTGGATAATATTTATTTTTGCTTTATTTATAAATGCTTTTTAGCTTGAGGAAGTCAGAGTTTAACTGTCACTGAGACGGTGTCATGTTAGAAACAGTTTTCATTCATTCATTTATTTAGTAGCTATTTATTGACTACCTACTGTCTACAAACCATTGAGTACTGCCCTTTCAGGGATGTGATGATGGAGGCAACATGTGCCCTATTTTCCTGGAGCTTACTGTCTTGGATAGTAGGTAAGATGTATACCCAGAAAAGTAGGGTACCATGTGATTAAGTGCTAAAGTGCTCTGCAAAGAAGCAAGAGGGAGAGAGTTCTTCCAATTAGATTAGTAATGGAAGGCTTTATGGATGAAATGCCATGCGTACTGGGGCTTGAAAATGCAGTTAGGGTTTTAATAGTCAGATTTGAAAGAGAAGAGGAAGGCGACCTTTTTCCTTTTGCAATCCATCCATCTGCATAGCTACCAGACTGACAAACTGATAGTCCCAGAGCACATATGCACAGATGACTAACCATTTTAGTCTTCTGATCAAGAAGTGTCAGTAGTTCTCTGTTGCGCTATTGCTTGTCTCTTTGTCATTTCAAGTCCTCCATAATCTGGATATATTTCTAGGTTTACTTCACATTATTTCTGCTGAGATACTTCGTGTTCTGATCAAACTATTTATAGGCTGTCCCTTCTATACAACATTCATTTCTTGTCTTTGGACCTTTGTAGGTTGTTCCTACTCCTTGGAATATTCTATCCTTTCACCTCTACCTAGTGTAATCCCTAGGGCTACCTTTTTAAAATTTTTTTTTGATTGTTAGTCTTTTGTAGGGCTACCTTTTATAGGAGGCCTTCCTGAAGTTGAAAGTACTCCCTCTCCCCATGACTTTGAATTGACTTTTCGTGTATTTTGTGTTTTCTTATATGTGTGAATGTTGTTCTCCTCTTGTTCATTTTTCCCCAGTAGAATATAAACCATCTTGAGGACAGGAACCATAATTGATTTTTGTCTTTGACTCCCCAGTACCTAATAAATAGTAGGTGCTTAATCAAATGCATGTTCAATTATGTAGAGAATGTTAAACAGTAGTACAGACTGATTGGCTATTACAGTATTAATACAGAAGAAGAGTGGGAGATTAAACTGAAAACTGAAAAACTGAGATTGAGATCAATATCAGTTTGTAGCCTCAATCAGAGACATGCCATTAAATGTTTAACAACTGGCTCTACAAGAGGAAAAAATAATTGTATACCCATTTGCATAAGTTTAGTCTGCAATATGAATGTTTTCTCCATCATTTTCTTAAGTATAGACAGTCATATAAATCAATAATGCAATCAAGAAAACAATAAATCAAGCCCAGATTTGTGGCATTTGCCAGTTCTTGAGGTTAACAATTGATTCTCTAGAGCCAGTTCAGCAGGCTGCAGCACAAGCCTGGCTTCTCAATCCACTGGAGTCAAGCTCAGCAGCCTGGACTTTATTCTGAGGCATCTACTGAAGAATTTTTTTTTTAACAAGATAGTGACATGATTAGAGCTTATTTTTGGAAAAAATATCTGATCATGGTGTGGTACATGGACTGGAAAGAAGAGACTCTGGAAGATGGCAGATAACAAATGGTTACATTTTTAACAATTTGGGCTAAAAGCATTTAAAAATGACTTTTTTAGGGTAGTGATATCAGGAAAAGGTGAAAGAGGAGAGACCTGAGAGAAACGGGGAATGTAGGATAGACAGAAGTCAGTGAGTAGTTGGTTGTTGGGGTTGAGAGAGAGGAAAGAATCAAGTGACCTTAAGTTTAGAAGACTGAATCACTAGGAGAATTATGGTGTCATTAATGGAAATGGGTATTTAAATCTGAAGAACTGGTTTAGGTACAAGGATGATGAGTGTAATTTGGACATGTTGAGTTTGAGGTGTTGGTAGGGATAGCCCGATGGGGAGATATCTAATAGGCATTTGGAAATGTAGAGCTTGAACATTGAGGTGGGATTTTTTTTAGGCAATTGGGGTTAAATGACTTGCCCAGGGTCACACAGCTGGTAAGTGTCAAATATTTGGTCTGAATCCGGGTTTGAACTCAGGTCCTCCTGA